CATTCAAATCTTTTTCGCGCTCTCACTGCTAAACTGTTTATTTGAATATTGGCCTACAACTTCATATGAACCTTCATCTGCATTCACACGTAATTCATCCATTCGCGCTTTAATTGCGCACGTATGATGTACATATTTGCCTTGGCCCTTCTCCAAATCTGCACCTCAATCTTCATTGGAACTTCACTCTCGCTTTCATTGTTTTAATTTGCATCTGCATATTCAGCACCTCTTCTGTAAACTCGTCATCCACATCTGCACCTCGAATTCCACATCCTTGCGAACCGTTCTGGTACCGATTCCAGCTTCGGCAACCATGTGGCGTTCTCGAACTAATGTGCAATCGTAAACCGATCATTTCGTTTTGGGACATCTTTAAAAGCCTCACAGCTGGAATCCTACTATGAGGCTAGTGGGCGTGTTGGGGTCGGTACCAGCTTGCCTTCTGATGATGGTTGGGATTTGTACCAGTGCGTTGGGATTGGTCCCAGCGGGCTGCGATTGGAACGCCATGCGGTTAGCAAATCAATTCGCGTGACAACACGCAACGTAATCGGTTCTGGCTGGGCTGGTGGGGAAACGCGGAACGCCAAACATTGCAACGCCGCTTAACATCACAACCAGAACCCTCGACCCCCTCGATCTGCGGCATATCTCGGGCCAAATCGGTCTGGGGGGGCCCCAATGCCCGACACCAAGCCAACAAACGCACAGAGCTGCCTGCTCTTCTCGAGGACCTCAATCCTCGAACCTCGAGCCTCGATCCTCCTTCTCCTCCCCCTCCTCTTCCCCCTCCTGCGAACGCAGCAGCGGTCCGTACGCTGGCGCGCATGAACTCCGCGACGATCCAGACTGGCAATCTCATGACCCCCGATAGTCGGACCCGCGGTAGTCGGCCGCGAACACCAGACAGCCGCCCCAATTTCTCCCTCCTCCCCGCCGTGCCCCAAATCACCTAGGGCTCCCAACTTCGCGCTTCGCGCTGCGCGAAGCGCGAATAACTTCGCGCTCTCGCGCCGCCCTCCCAGAAGGAGAATAGGAGGACGAGGAGGAGGGGGAGAAGGAACGAGGACCGCGAAGCGCGAAGCGCGAATAACTTCGCGCCCTCGAGGGAGCCCTTGAATCACCCGCCCGCCGTGGTCGCTCTTCGTCGTCGCTGTCGTCGCTCGCCCTCGCCGTCGCTCCCCGCCGCTCGCCGCCGCTTCTCGCCGCCATCGCTCGCCGCTCGCCGCCGCTCGCCGCCTCCGCCGCTCGCCGCCACTCGCTCGCCGCTGGTCGCTCGTCGTCGTTCGTCGCTCGTCGTCGGCCGCTCGTCGTCGTTCGTCGCTCGTCGTTCGTCGCTCGTCGTTCGTCGCTCGTCGTCGTTCGTCGCTCGTCGTCGTTCGTCGCTCGTCGTCGGCCGCTCGTCGTCGTGTTTAGACCGTGCAGCAGATCGGGGAAGCCGCCGCCTCCCTCTGGGAGGGCCCGCGCCAAGGCCCGCGGACAGCGGGCTTGCCGGGCGGCGTGGCGAGGCGGGTTTTTTAGACCCGTCGGGGCAGAGGTCGGCAGGCCTCCGGACCTCGCGCGTGAGACACCACGACCCAGGAAGCGCAAGCACAGCAGGCGCAGGGATGTGGAGCGCGACTGCGAGAAGAAGGAAGGCAGGCCGACCGAGGAAACACGAGGAGGAACGAACGAAGCTGATGATGATGGCGGCGATGATGATGAGGATGATGATGACGGGATGATCGGTATCCCCTTGATCCAGAAATATCCACGGTCCACGACATTCCCGTTGAAGACGCAGAGGTTGTCATCTGCGGGATTTCCGTTGACCTTGAACATGTTTCGAAACTCGTATATGGCCCTTGGACGTTTCCGCACACCGTAATCCGTCTGTCGTCTGGCTCGTGCATGTCGACGACGGTTGGCAGAGCTTCCCGCAGTGCAAGCACGCCTATCACAATTGCATAAACGCGCTTCCTAGCTAAGATGTCCCATCTTTCTGCCACTCCGTGAACTCCTCGCAGGCTTCGGCGGTGACCTCCCCGCTCTTATAGACGGGGCCCGAGTACACGCTGTCGATGGCCATGCTGCCACGTCGACTGTCTGGCTAGTGAGATTTGTCCTGTCGCTGGAGATTGCGCTGGCGAAAATCTCCTGCTGGCAGATGCTCTTGCGCTCCTGCAGCTTCGAGCGCGCGCCCGTGTCGTTGGGCACATTTGTGCCGCCCCAGCGCCGTATTGACCGAGCCCCTTCTGTACCATCTCTTCGAGAAGTTTTTCTGGGCCTCGACTTCGTCGAATCGACGAAGACCGCGCCGTAGTCTTCCGCTTGGATATGGCAGAACGCCTGGTTCGCAAACTCTGAATGGAAGGATTCTCCGGCTTGGTTCCATCATCCGAGGGGTCTGGCTAGCCCAAGGACGTGTCGCACTCGGTCAGTCCGATGGCCCTGGTGTCGGCCGCGATCGCCTTAGCATATTTGCCAGCTTTGACAGGCTCGTTGCCCTCGCTCTTCGTCCCCTCGGCCATCGCCCACGGGCCGTCCGCCATGGCTGCCATCTCGGCCTTCTGACTGGCCCCCGTAGCATCGTCGAGCCCCTCTTGAGCCAAGTTCGGGGGAGGAGGAGGAGGAGGAGGAGGAGGAGGAGGAGGAGGAGGAGCAGGAGGAGGAGGAGGAGGAGGTAAGGTAAGGTAAGGCGCTTGGGGAGATGAATCCGCTCGGCCGAGAAAACCGACTGAGCTTTCTGGCCTCCCTGCGATGTGACTATTTGGGCAGGGACCCCTTGTTGGGCCTGCGCGCGGGAGCGGGCGATGGGCTCGGAACGGCGGCCCGCCGCCGCCACGCGGGGGGGCGCCCCTGTAGAAATTCAACGCGACAGAATTTTAAGGGGGTGGGGGGGTCCGTCGCCTCATCGCGTGAGGGTCAGGGCTGCCTGGCCGGGCCGGCCGCGGGGTCATGGTACTTGTCGAACGGGCCCCTCTTCTCCTCCTCGTCCTCGTTTTTGCCCTCATCGTTTCTTTTTCCTTTAGCTCCTCTTCCTCGTCGTGGTCGTGGTCGTGGTGGCGTGACGCGGAGCGTGAAGATTTTACTTTCACGCTCATACTTTCGCATGCGGATTGAGGCATGAGCTCCAACGTGCGCCCCGTGAGGAACAGGTGGGGCTCCTGAGAAGAACTGGGCCTTGACGGGCCCATCGTGGCATCATGAAAGGCGTGTTCGCTTTGAGCAGGTTGTCCTAAGGAGAGGGCTGTGCTCCAACGAAGAAAAGTGCCTTGACGCCTTTACTTTTGCATTCGGATAGGGCACGGGCTCAAAGACACGCCCATTAAAGAATTGGTAAGGACCCAGACAGAACCTGGGTCTTAACGTGCCCATCGTTGCAGCCTGCAGAGCCCGTGGGTTTCAAGCGGGTTGGCCTATGGAGCGGTCGTTGCTCCAGCGAAGAACTGGATCTTCATGGCCCTGCCCGTGCATACGGACAACGGCGTAAGATCCGACGTGCGCCCCGTACGGAGCTCGGCCTCAACGTGTCCGTCGCTCCCCTGCTTCAACCGGGTTGGCCTAAGGAACGGACGGAGATTCAGCGAGGAACTGGACCTTAATGCCCCTACCTTTGCACGCGGATCGGGGCGTACGTACGCTCCGACATGCGCTCCGCACGGAAATTGTAGGGCCCGAGAGAGAGAGAGAGAGAGAGAGAGAGAGAGCTAGGCCGTAACGTGATCATCGTTGCATTATTCTTATGCCAATGATTTCCAAGCCGCGTGGCCTAAAGAACGGGCGGTGCTCGAGCAAGGAACTGGACCTGAACAAGCTCACAATTAGCTTTTCCAGATTGGGAACGGGCGTGCGATGCCATGTCGTATGGCAACTATTGCCAAAACAACCCAAGAAACCGAGCCCCCCTTGGAACCCCCTTCCTTCGGCCAACCGCTCTGATCGACACAGCGAATCCGCGCGTACTAGAATTTGAGGAACACCGAAGGGGCTCGCCACAAAAAAATATCCAGGCGAAAGACCCAACCATACGCAATTGTGCATACCGCGTTGTGGGTACCAATTTCGGTGGAGCTCCCTATGGGGCCACGAACCGTGTGAGGGGTGTGCCGAAATGGGGCGGCGGTGCCATGCGGACCCCCCCGCTGGGGCCCTCGGTGGAGCTCCCCATGGGGCAACGAAACGTGTGAAGGGTGTGTCGAGATGGGGCGGCGGTGCCATGCGGACCCTCCCGCTGGGGCCTTCGGTGGAGCTCCCTATGGGGCCACGAAGCGTGTGAGGGGTGTGCCGAAATTGGGCGGCGGTGCCATGCGGACCCTCCCGCAGGGGAGGAGGAGAGCAGAGGAGGAAGGAGACGCGGGGCGCTGTCTCTTCAAAACGAGGACCCAACACCACAAGATGGCTGGGATAGAAACAACCAAACACATACACACCTACGGAACCACCGAGCCCCGCTCGACCTCGAACTGGACCTTCTTTCAACGAAGTGCCTGTATCATACACTTTGAGGATGTCTCAGGCGAAACGCCTGGCCCGCTCTAACAACACGTCTGGTGGTGCAACAAGGGGGGGGGGGTACAAAGAAGTGGTATGCAGGAGGAGGAGGAGGAGGAGGAGGAGGAGGACGAGGAGGAGGGGGGGGGAAACGGGGTCTAGGTGGTCTTGGAAGGGATCCAGGGCTGGTTCGAGGAGCAGGGGCCAGAGAAGGGAGGAGGATGAGACGCGGAGTCGAGCCAGGAGGGCGAGGAGGAAGATGACGAGGAGGGGGAAACAGAAACTGGCGGCGCGCGAGGAGAAGTTGCGCGAGGGGTAAGCCTCGCCAGAGTGCAAGGGGCCTCTCAGAAAAGGTTGCGCCCTTTCGTGATTAGAATACTCCGCGAAAGAGCTCCCAAGTGGCGGGTGCCTTCTCAGAACGGCCCCCCCTGACCCTGCCCCCCGTCCGCGCACCGCCGAAGAACACTCAATCCACCAACACTCCTACCTGCCGGCCGCTGGCATCAGGGTTTCCACCGCCTTGTTCATGTTGCCACTGTTCGCGTGAAGCGCCTGAATGCATGCCTCCTTGTCGGTAAAGCCCATGTTTGCCATTGCCTGCAACTGGCTCTTGAACCTGATCTCGGGGCTTTCCTGCTCGGCCTGCAGGAAGATGCTGAAGGACTCCTCTGGTTAGCCAGATGTGTCTCGTGGGCCCATACGACTGCGACGGGGGTTGTGGACGGGGGGGTACTGAGGAGGAACTGATACAAATGTCCCTGTTCTTTCGTGTGCTTCTGTGTGCCCGCACTCCCGTTGGTCGACCGAGACAACATTCACTCGGACAAAAATGATGTCACGATGCGACTGGCTCGGGACTCGTTCCCGGAATTCCGAAGCATCTAGCGGCCTTCGTTCATGGAGCCCGAGAGGAACAAGAGGGCATGCTGGGCAATCTAGGAACGCCTCATTCCCATTATCATGCGTTCGTTGCTCCCTAGACTCACATACGTGTCTCCTCTTTTTGGGAGGGGGTCGGGGTCATGTGAACTTCTTTCTGGTCGCCAGTCCTTGAAATTCGCGGCCGGGCTTTTCGGATTCAAGCCGCTGAGCACCTGGGACGAGTCTGGCAGCAGTTGCTGGTCCGCAGCGGCCTCCGCGGCGCCACGGGCACTCGCCTTCGCGGCGGGCTTGTCCGACTTCGCCTTGGCGACGGGCTTCTCCTCGGCGGCGAAATCCGCGGTCATGGAGAGCTGCTCCACCGCCTGCTGGAGCATCGCCACTGAGTGCACCGTCGGCGCGTGGAACATCTGGCCGATGAAGCTCGGGTCCAGGAAAGGGTCGTCAGGGTGCAGCTTTTTGGTGGGCCCGGGCATGGTCTGCGTGAGCTGCGACAGCAGCTGCTGCATGTTCTGGTCCTGCATCATCGAAGCCATCGCGTTCGTGTCGAACGTGCCTGTCGGGGGCGTCCAAGAAGGGGTCTTGCAGATCACGGCCCGAGGCACGTGCGCGGCCCGGGGGGTGCCACGGGACGTACGGAAATCCGCCGATCCGGCGTGTGAACTACAACTAGCCTCAGCAAGAGCTTCAGCTCTGAGCCTAAGCAAGAGCTTCAGCTCTGCTCGGGGGGACGTCGCCGGGGTGGCTCTGCCGGTGAAGGGGGGAGGGGGGGGGGTCGGTCCTCCATCTGGCGTTTTCTTAATGGATTGCGCATCTCCAACATGTTTCGGGGGTATACCAAGAACCCCCTCCATGACCCTCCTCTCGGAACCTTCCCTGGACTCCCTGTGGAAGGGGGGGAGGGTGGGGGGGCGGTCCCCCATCTGGCGTTTTCTTAATGATTTGCGCATCCCCAAAATGTTTCGGGGGGTCCCAAGGACCCCCTCAGATCTTGCCGCTACCGACCCCAGGACCCTCCCCTCGGAACCCTCCCCGGACCCCCCCGCAGGACCGCTCCAGGCACCCCCCCAAAGGGCACGTCAGCTCCAAAAAGCGTTCCCGACGACTCCAAGAGCCCCCTCCCTCCCAACCCCGACGACTCCAAGATCACCGAATCCGGAGCCTCCCGGATTGGCGGCACTGGCCGGAGGCCATTACAATAAGAGGAGGGGGCTATGCCATATGGGGGATACATCAAGGCTCCAGGCATGATATAGCCACCCCGTAGTCATCACCCTCCTGCTCGGCGCCTGGTGGCTTCTGGGTCACAGCTCGGCACTGAGGCGGCTCGGAACGAGCCAGAACAGCGGGAAGGCTCTCGGCGAGGCGCAGCTGCTGGAGAGCACCCTGAGGCTGGAACACCGTCGAGAACCGACGAAGACGCCCGACAACTTAGAACCTTCAAACCGTTACCCCCCTCTTGGACGCCCCCGAGCCTGCCCACTCGGGCAGAGGCTTGAGGCCCTTGGCGGGCCCAGACTCCTCCTCCGGCTCCTCGGCCTCGGAGGCCTTGCTCGGAGCCTTGGAGCCCGTCTTCGAGGCCGAGCCGGTGTCCTTTTGGTCCTTCAGCGGCCTCTGGATGTCCTGAGCGGCAGCGTCAGGGAGGGCAGAGTTTCGAGGGCGACAGGCCCCCGACAGCAACGCCGCACGGTCCTGGGCGGGGTGGGCTGCCAGGCCCCTCTGGGCGATCAGCGAGCGATTTGGGGTCGATACGTCCCCCCTGAGCAAACCCCTCCCTGAGTAGCGTTGCCTCTGACCTCTGGATGTCCTCGCACATGTGCCGCAGCACGTCTATCGAGCCGCCGGAGAGGCTCTCCAACGCCGTCGTGGCGCGCTCGGTGCTCCGGAGCACGTCCCGCACGTGCACAGGGTTCCTCAGCTTCTCAGCGGCGTCGCCCATGAACTCCTGGTCCTGCAACATCTCCATCAGCTCTGGGTTGCTCTCCAGGAGATTGTTGAGGCGCGGGTCCTAGAACAACACAACGCTGCATACACATCAACTTTCGGAGGTCCGCGCGGATTTCTTGGATCGGCGCTGGGCCTCCTTCGGCGCTGGAGGCGCAACCAGGGGGCCCCAGCGCAGATCCAAAAGAAATCCGCGCAGAGCCCCCAAGATGTAGATCAAATCAAGTTGGGGCGGCACCAAGAGGCACCGATACTGCTACTCCCCGGACCTCTCCCGGGATGCGTTCTGACCCAAAATTCGAAGCGAATCCAACCGTGGCGACGAGGGTATCCCAGGAGGCCTAAAACGGCGAGATCGAGGAAAGGGTAGCGGTATCGCTATACCTCTCCCTCCCCTGAGTTTCTTGTTCCTCGAGGTCCGTCTTGATGAGCCCGCGCATGAAGTCGAAGTCGTTCAGCAGGCTCTGCATGGCCCAGGCAATGCCAAGGGGGGTCACCACTAGGGGGGGTGTTGCCACTCTCTCGAGGAAATGCAATTTCCTCGAGGGAATGGGCCCCCAAGACCAAGAGAACTCCAAGATCCCCCCGAACGATCCCAAACGTCCAAAAACCTCCTCGAGCATGAATCCCGGAACCTCGATGTCCAGGAGAACTCCAGGACCCCCCCCCCCCCCAAACGTCCCCACGCGTCCAAAGATCTCCTCGAGCGTGGATCACGGAACCTCGATCTCCAGGAGCTGGCCCCCCCCCCCCCTTGAGGTGACCCCCCTCGGCACTGCCCGAATGGCGGGGGACTCCAGCATCTGCTGCAGGATGTCCGGGTTCTGCAGCACGTGGCGCTGCAAGCTGGCGAGCTGGCTGGGCAGCTTCAGCCCCTCCTCCATCGGGTGCCCCGAGGATGGGGGGCCAGGAGGAGGAGGAGGAGGAGGAGGAGGAGGAGGAGGAGGAGGAGGAGGAGGAGGAGGAGGAGGGAGGAGGAGGGATACTCTGAGATCCTGTCGTCGCAATTTTTCCCTGATAGCGTTTCGCTAAGAGGGTTCGCATCGCGATCCTGAAAACGGCGGAAGATTCGAAGAGTCGCACAAGCGGGGCGGGGAGCCCGAGACCGTTCCCTGGATCGTTTTGTCCAGCAGCCGTTTCGCATGAGACTTCCGCACGCTGTATTCAAGAATCGTGCTTTCGCGTCCATGCCTGTTGCATTTTTGGTACTGCCCTGGTTTGTTTAAAGCTGTGGTGCACATGGCCGTGGTCTCGCCCCTGCCCCAGCTGTCACTTTAGCTGCTATTGGAATGCTTTTTTCTGGGGTGGTTATGATGACTGGGCGTTTCGCCTCATCTCGGGACCTGCGAGCCTCACGGATCGACCCAGCTCAACACATGCGGCCGAAAGATTGGGTCCAGGGCTCAAGACGTTTTTCTTTGCGAGGTTGCATGTTTTGTGTGACGCGTCAGTGCGCGGCAGGGGAACGCGTCCCTCCCCGTCGTCTCACCTCCTCGGTGTCCTCCGCCTCCTCCTCCTCCGCCCCTTCCTCTCTGCGCTGCGTCGTGGCCTGGCGCCGCGACGGCGGCCGGGAGCGGCCAGCACAGGCTTCTTCCCCTCTCTGTGTGGGTCGAAGATTGCGGCCCGCAGGCCAGAGGGGGTTAAAGCTATGCGCTTTTCTGGCGCCGCCCCTGGCGCGCTCCGAGGGCCTCCTGGGGAGTCTCCGTGACCTTCCGGGACACGCTAGCGCATCATAGCCCAAGGCGTGAGCGCGGGACGGTGGTGGGGGGGCACGGGAACGCATTGAGAAAAGAAGCAGAGGAAGACGATGAAAAAGACAATCATAACAATAACAGCACGCAATCATATTAGTTAGTAGTAGTACGCATAATCATATCAACAATAACTTCCAAACTATAATCAATTGTACTCACAAGAAAACTACTGATACTAGTAATAATAAAAATGATGGTACGAATACGAATAATAATGATAACAATAATACTTATACGAATGCCAACAAGACGAATAAAACTGATACTACTAGATACTACTAGTAATAAACTAATGATACTAGTAATAATAACAATGATGATACGAATACGAATAATAATGATAACAATAATACGTATACAAATGCCAACAAGACGAATAAAACTGATAGTATTAGATACTACTAGTAATGCGAATGATAATAATACTAATCATAATAATAATAATAACAACAACAATAGTAATAATTATAATACTAATAATAATAATTGAAAAAATACGAATCACAACACTGATCAGAAAATGAAACGGAAGACTAATCACAATACTGAACATACAAATAACAAGAAGGGGCCACGACATCCGGTACATCTTCGGGGCAAGCAAGACACCCTTTTAGCAAAACACCCTTCAGTGAAACCGACCCGGGACCAAACCTGGCGGGCTCAGGTCCGCAAAAACTGCGGGCGCGACGCTTCCTCGAGAACCGCGAAAGTGCAATGTGACAATCGACTTGGCAGGGTGGGGGTTCTATCAATGAGGGGCAACGATCGGGGGGGACCGGCATAGGAGGGGAAACATCGGCCTGGAATCGGCGATACATCGCCGATAGGCCCCCCATAGCGAATCCGCACGTTCCTGGGCGGGGTGGGGCAAGCAGACCCTTCTCGGCGATCAATGAGCGATTGCGGGTCGATGCATCCCTCCCCGTGCCCATCCCCCCCCCGATCGCTGCCCCCGAATCAACCACCGATCACCCCGCTCCTGTAAGGCCAGGGCGAGGGGGCCACCACTGGGGGGAGCCACCTCCACGAGGACCCCCCCCCCCTGGACCATACAGATCGAGTAGGGGATCGACTACAGATCTGATTTACCCCAGAGTTGATTTTCCTTGTCGAATCCACGGGAGAGTTGTGGAACTTTCGCAACTTTGGCACCGCCCGCTTCTTGGACGCCCCCGATCCTCAAACGAGCCACCGTCCCCGCCTGGCCCACCGGCCCCGCCGGTGAGCAGGTGGATGGTGCTGTTCCGCTCGACGCCGTAGGCCTCCAGCGTGCGCCCGTCCTGGCTTGAGAAGCTCGGCGGGTGGGGCCGGAGAGACGCGCCAGGGGACTGCGGCGCGGGCCCGCGCGAGACGGCCAGCGGCCGCGCCGACACCGACGACGACGGTGAGGACCACGACGGCGCTGCCGACGACGACCGACGACTACGACGACAGCTGCGACGACGTGTGGGGGCGACGCCTGCGACGACGACCCTGACGAGCGGATCGCGCGAGCAGACGATGATGACCACGACGACGCTGCCGACGACGACGACGACAATGACGACAGCTACGACGACGCGTGTGGGCGGCGCCTGCGACGACGGCCCCGACGAGCGGATCGCGCGAGCAGGGCGGGGCAGGTCGGGCGGGCGGGCGCTGGCCCGCGCGGGCCCGCCCGTCCTCGCCCCTCCCTCTCGCCCGCCCTGCCCCGCACCAGACCTGCGACGGATGAAGCACATCGATGCGGAGGTCTCCTGCCGTTTTCGGCCCCTGGGGGCCCTCGCAAACCTCAAACTGATCTGGCGGACGTCTATTGTCGCTTTCGGCCTCTGGGAGCCCCCGCCAGGGCCCAG